CTCCCTTGTGTGCTCTCGCTTTATCATGTGATCAACATCCAATCCCCTTGTTGTGTTTGCTCTTGATCTAAAGTCTGCATATGAGGGAGAACATACGATTTTTGGTCTTTTGGGCCAGGCTAACCTTACTCAGAATGATGTTATCCAATTCCATCCATTTACCTGCAAATGATAACATTTCATTCTTCTTCATGGCTGCATAAAATTCCATTGTGTATAAATAACACATTTTCTTGAGCCATTCATCACACCATTGATTTTAAAAAACATCCTCAAATGTATTTTTTCCAATCTACTTTATACAAAGGAAACTCACTGAGTTTAAAACATGTCTTTCCCTGTTGATTATTGAGGTTGACCATCTTCAGATCTAGTGATTATCTCATTTGAAGTTATTTCCTCTGAAATAAACTTCATGTTCAGTGTTTCAACTCTTTTCATGTATGTATGTGTGGCAGTATATTTCATTATTAAATTATAAGCAACAGCAGGGGACATGTTTTTAATAGGATTAACGAAGCTGGCAGAAACTTCTGAGTAAAGACATAGATGCAGGTCTTTTTTTTTTACAGCAAACAATATTTTAATATTTGATGGTAGAAAACAAACATAAGCATTGCTAATTATGTTCCCTTAGAAGTCTGTAATTGATAGGTGCCTAAGTGTATGCATTGATTATACAAAGAAGATTTGAGAAAGAAGAGTTGAGTTAATTTATATGATGAAGGCTGGGACTGAACTGTTGAGGAAGGATGAAGTTTGGGTGGTTGGGAGAATATAGGTGGACACTGAAAAATTAAGCGATAGTTAGAATATATTGCAAACATGTTTATTAGGATAATTAGGTTTCTTTAACTCTTAATTTTTACATGGCACTGCAGAATTTCTATGTAATACCTAAAATATAAATCTCTAAACTGAACATCTTTTTTTGTGTTACTGGGGTTTTGAATTCAGAACCTTATGCTTACCTAATAACCACTTTAATGTGGTTATACACACATTACCTACCAAAGCTAAACCTAATATTTAAAAAAAAAAGGCAATTTAGCACAACCTGATTTCTGTATTCTGCTTTCTTGTTGCTTATGGGTTTTCTTTCAGATAGGTAATTTTTGGAAATTTTTTGCCTCTTGGTTCCTTCTTGCTGTATAGTCATTTTGCATAGACTCAGAGAAAGCAGATCCTGGTCAGCCTAATTTGGAATAGGTGAAATCTTGGCTGTAATATTTAGCACTAACAGTGGGATTTTAACTTTTGGAACTAGTTTTTTTCATGAGTAAATCAAATTACAGTTTTTCTTACTTGTTTTTATTTTTAAATTTACATATAGTTTTTTTTGGGAGTGGTGCTAGGGTTTGAACTCAGAGCTTTGAGCTTGCAAAGAGGTGCTCTACCACTTGAGTCACACCTCCAGCCCATTTTCTCTGGCTATTTTGGAGATGGGGTCTCTTGAACTATTTGCTCACTGGCATTGAACTGCGATCCTCCCAGTATCAGCCTCCCAAGAAGATAGGATTACAGGCATGAATGTCTGTAGATGCAGGTCTTCTAAGAAATGGTATCTGGTATTGGGGATGTAGGAGTATAAACTGTTGATTCAAGAGACTGTTTTTTTCTCACAATGCTTTTGTAAAAAAGAAATTTCGAAGAATCAAGGACTTAAAAATATCTCCAAGATAAATATTAATATATCTATTTTGTTTGATCTTAAAGGGATTATTTTTCTGTATGTCACAATGGAAGTACAGGAAAAGAGGAAGGTGCCAATGAAGTTTTTCTGGCTTGAGAAGAAAAGAAGTTTCATTAATCTAGGGAAACAGGAAGGTCAATTGGCACATTAATATCAGGACAATGATAATCAACCATTATCTACTGTAGTCAGAAACCATTCCTGAAATATAAATATCTGCTGGATTTCTTCTCGAAATAGCATTTCCAAGTAAGGCTGATTTTACATAGGCAGAATCAATTAACATCATTTATAAACATTCACACAGCTTCATTATATAAAATAACAGGAGATGGAGATGTATGGAATGAGTTTAATCAATTTTTTAAGGTATTGAGAAGAAAACAGATAATGAAAGGTTTTTATGGTATTATAAGAAACATACCAACAGAATGCTTTTTGGGCCAGACAATGAGATTTATAGAAACTGTTCTAGTCCTCAAGGTCCAGTGGTGATGATAAGATACATTTGATTACTTTTTTTTAAGAGAATGAAAGTATTAGTGGTTTGTGTTCTTGAAATAGCATGGGGTTCAGAAGCAAGAGAGTTTGGTTATTACACTCAACTTCCAACTCAGTTTATGATGAACTCTGAATCAGATTTTTCCTCAGTGTACACTGAGAAGGCAGAAAGTTTTGAGAACTACCAATTCCTATTGGCTGTCTTGTAGTTATCATTATTCCTCCCAGGGTGAACTCTCTTATGCCTTGTTCAACAAGTAATTTTTTCCCCCAAGGGAGCATAAGACAATGAAACAATTTTATCCTGTGTGTCTCTAATGTGGAATTGCCCCCCAGGCAATTTTATGGTTTGTAAAATTAGAACTCACAGGAATTGTTCAGGAGATAAGAACATGTACTGATAAGTCTATCTTCTTTGATTCTAAATAGGTAACTCTTCTGCTTGCCACAGTAGAAGTTTGAGCTTTTTGAAAATTTAATGTTTCACTGAATTTCATGCCTTCTTGAGGTAAATGGAAGAACCTTCCCATATCACATAGCTGAAGGTATTTTTGTTCATCATCTAAGGGGCCCTGTCAAATCTAGAGTAGAATTTATGCTCAGCAGTAAAGTTGTATATGTTTGGATATATATGTATATGTGTGTGTCCAGTGTGTGCCATTGATTCTTAGATTCTACCACTGTTCATACCATAAAATGGCTGAAACTCTATGTAGAGTAATTTGTCTTGAATTTAACATCTATTTAAATTTTGAGGTGATAGGGCAAAAAAAGACTCCAGGTAGAATAATTTATCTCACAGTGATCCTATATCTAATTTTTGAGAGAAAGGAAGAAAAGACCTCTTTTTTGTCTTTAACCCATATTTTTCATAATGTGAATTTCCCCAGATTTTATACCAAATCTCTTTAATTCTATGCCTCAATTTCAGTGTACACAGGTATTATTTTGTAACTAAAATGCTACAAGAACCACCAGTTCTCATTCTTGATGGATTCTGGCTTTGATACAATCTGATCTCTACTTAATAGCTAGCAAGCCATTTGATATTTTAGTCACTTCCTTTATTTATACCTTTTCTTTGATGAGCTATTGTTCTAGAATAGAAATTTTCTGTTATAGCACACAAGTGCTAACATCCTCTTGCTCCTTGAAAATTATTCAACTCATATATTCCTTGTGTTGCCATTCTCTTGAGTTTTCTCTTTTTCTCAAATGTCCTAGCCCTGTCCTCTACAAACACTTAAGTTGAGTGCCCATTCTTACACAGATTCTTCTATTAAGGATTTATAGAAAGCATGAGGATTGGCTTTTTCATCACCTTATCTGCTTGTGGTTTGAAAATCTATTAAAACCATGAATGCACATTCCCTCCAATTCTATTTTTGAGAATCTATCCTATAGATATATGTTCTAGGGCACAAAAAGACATATGAACAATATTGATTATTTCAATATTGTTGGAAATATCAAATATTAAGAACAATCCACATACCTACAGATAGCTAATACCATTTTCATTATGACAAACTAATTGTTACTAACATGGAAATAAGTAACATAACTAAATAATAATCAATCTCAGATAATAACATCACATTTACAGTATGTTTCATATTGTGGGCTGCAGAATGTGGAAAACTTAAAGTTTCAAATTAGAAAAATACAAATTTATTTAACACCTAAAATACCTGATGAATCAGAAAGTGAGACATATTCCCAGTTCACAAAGGCAAAAACCTGCATTTTTAGCAAGTGTTTACATAGACTATGTGTTCTATTTTACAGATTTTCATGTTCTGTAGTCCTTTTCATTGGTGATTATTCATATAATCGGTATGATAACAACAAAACTGAAGGCGAAACAGAGAGAAATTTAGCTATGTAGAAGACATTTTGGAATATACTAAAAATATCAATTAAAAGCCTTGGGCATCAAAAGTACGTCAGGAATCACAAAAAACAAAGACGTCATTTGTTTTAGCTGGAGGTACACAAAGAACTGCTTTGGCAGATCACAGATGTAACTAGAAAAGTCAGGTACTTCCTGGTATTCTCAGAACTTGAATGAGGTAATTTAGTATGAATTGAGGGAATTCATGTGGAAGAAAAACACCTATTATGAGCATTCCATCAAAATTCCTTTAAGAATAATGGAACACTAAAACAGTTGAATAGGAAAGAATTTTTAAAGAAGGAATTGATGGTTGTATTACAAGGTATGTCACTGGACATTTTATATTATTGATGTAGATTCATTCTCCAATGCCCTTGCCTGACCAACTATATATGATATGTCTATCAAGTGTCCAGGTCCTGATGTCTTGCAGGTCCAAGAAACCAAATGGATTCTCTGATCTTGATTCAATTTCTTTTCATGAAAATAAAGCATTAGCTAAAGTGTGTTCAAGAGATAGTTGGTTAGGAAAGGTCAAAAGAACCATTAGAGATCACCTAATGGTCCACACTAATTCTCTAATATAAAATTTCTATCACAAAATCATAGACACTTTAAGTTGATCTGACCTGATAGCCATTCTGATTATTCCTGATATCTTTAAAACAAGTTCATCTGTTTTGCAAGCTGGAAATAACCTTTCCAACCATCACTACTGCACTTGTATGGCAAAAAGCTTGAGAAACTCAGGTTAAAATGCACATACTGTATAGCTCAAAATGATGTTTGTTTATTTATGCAGTGCTAGAGATCAATAAAATGATGTTCTTACAATGTAATATTAACAAAGACTTCTGCCTCTTTCACATTTCCGTCTGCTCTTCATCCCCACCAGAAGAGAAGAGGAACATGAGGAAGTATAATCAGAGCAGTGTGTCTGAATTCATCCTCCTGGGGCTCCCCATCAGGCCAGAGGAGCAAGGCATGTTCTATGCCCTGTTCCTGGCCATGTACCTGACCACCGTGCTGGGGAACCTGCTCATTATCCTGTTTATCAGGCTGGACTCTCACCTCCACACCCCCATGTACTTCTTCCTCAGCCACTTGGCCTTCACTGACATCTCTTTCTCATCAGTCACAGCTCCAAAGATGCTCATGAATATGCTGACACACAGTAAATCCATATCCTATGCTGGGTGCATTTCCCAGGTGTTCTTTTTCTTAATGTTGGCAGATATTGACAGCTTCCTTCTCACCTCTATGGCTTATGACAGATATGTAGCTATCTGTCACCCTCTCCACTACAACAGAATCATGAATCCAACCCTCTGTTTTCTGCTAGTAATTGGGTCCTGGGTTTTATCTTCTGCAAATGCACTTGTGCACACCCTCCTTCTAGCCCATCTCTCTTTCTTTGTAGACAATACTCTGCACCACTTCTTCTGTGACCTCTCTGCCTTACTTAAACTGTCTAGCTTGGACACTACTCTCAATGAGTTGGTTATTCTCATTATAGGATCACTGGTCATTACACTGCCATTTATATGCATTCTGGTCTCTTATGGCCACATTGGGGTCACCATCCTAAAAATTCCTTCAATCAAGGGAATCTTCAAAGCCTTGTCCACATGTGGCTCTCACCTCTCTGTGGTTTGTCTGTACTATGGAGCAATTATTGGGCTCTACTTTATCCCCTCATCCAATGCCACTAATGACAAGGATGTCATTTTGGCTGCATTGTACAGTCTAGTCATACCCATGCTTAATCCCTTCATCTACAGTCTGAGGAATCGGGATATGAAGGGAGCTCTGGGAAATATCCTCAGTAGGACAGTTTCTATGTGATGGTCATTAACTGGGTATGAGACCTCTTAGCCCTTACATGCATTCTATCTTCTGTGAATTGCTGTTTCTCAGTGTTTCTTGTATTTCACCTCAGACATAGTTTTTCTATTTAATTTGTCTCATCAACATTGAGGGAAAGCTTTTTCTACATACCTCCCTCCATTTTTTCTTCCTGCATACTATTTTTGGCCTACAAACATTAAAAAAATATAGTTACTACTTTTCATTTTTATATGATAGTTTATAACTTTTGGTAGCTAGGTATTTTCCTTTCTCAGGACAGAAAAAATCAAAGGTATATTCAATTCTCTAATGCACTTCAAATTTATTTTTGTTAGTATCCTTAATTAAAAATCTAGGTTTACTTTTGTTTTTAATTTTTTGCATGTTAATTTTTATTATTTTTGTTTTATATTTGACAGAAAATGGTATATATATATACATATATGCTAGGTAGCATGTGATGTTACTATACATGCATATGGTATGCAATGTTCAAATTAGCAAAGTGTATCTGTTTCCTCAATCTTTATCACTTCTGTTTTGGAATTGTTTAGAATCCTTTTCTAGCTTTAAAAATGTATTATTTTATCATTAGCTTTAATCATTCTACTGTTGAATCAAACAGCAGAACATATTTATCCTGACTAAAATAGCCTTTCACACACTTTCTCCATCTATTTGTAGTTTCTTATCCATTTTCCAATACTTGTAGTTTCATTAGTGTTCGTGATAGCAAGTCATATAAATTTGTTTTTCTCCAGGTTTGGGCTTTGTCAAAGATTAAAATGAGATGACTTTCTGAAAAATTCCAGGTGAGTAGTTCTGACAGAGCAGATACTGGTCCAAACTGGTGGATGGAAACTTGATTGGAGTTCTGAAAGTTGTTGATATGTGGCATCACATTGAGAGTAGAGATTTAAATATCCTTGCAGGTGGTGATGTGGTGATGTGCATTTAGTCCCTTCTGGTAAGGGGACTCAGCCTCAGAATCTGGGGTGAAGACAGGTTAGGCAGGAGGTCTACACAACTTAAACTGAGATCAAGCAGGTCATTGGTTTGGTTAATCCAACTACAGTCTATCATAAAAAGAAAAGAAAGGTAATTTCCTACACAGCTGCAAAAATGTAGTGTCCTATTTTTCATCTTAAATGGTTCCATTATGCCTTTAGTCTTAAGTGCATTGCTAGAAGTTGATTATCATGAGTTTTTTCTGTATTCATTATTTCTTTTACTATTTGTCAAAAATTAGGGAATACAAATTTAAGAGAAGTTTAGTACCCAGTCTTATGTCACTAAGCAAGGGATATTTAGTGGATGTGAAGCACAGACTATCTGTGTTTGTGTGTGTGTGTGTGTGTGTGTGTGTGTGTGTGTGTGTGGATGGGTGGGTGTTTGTGTGTGTGTTCAGATCCTTAAACCAACAAGTCACTTGGGTATTTTTCAAAGTTAAGCAAATTTATTCATTTGATGAAAAATTTAATCTTCCAGAAATGTTGAAACAATGCACAAATAAATAAGGAATATAACATATGTACGTCTTAAATATATGTGCATACATATGCTACTGTATTGTGCCTAGTATATGTATGTGTTCATTTACATATGACAGATGGTAACGTTTTTATGAAAATGGTACAATGAAACACACTGAAATCCATTAAAAAGGAGGGGGAGAAGGAAAGATAGTTAAGAAAGAGCAATATCGATAGAGGTGAATTAGAACAAAGTACATTATATGCATGTTGTAAATATCACAATGAAACCCCTTGTACAAATACTTTATGCTAATAAAAATGTTTAAATTAATAATATTATTTAATCAAATATTTAATAGGCAATCTCTAGGCTTAAATAATAGAAAACTAGTAACATTCTTGAAGCTTCTTAGTCCCTCTTCTTTTTGCTGTGGCAGTGCTGGAACTTGAACTCAGGGTTTCACTCTTGTTAGACAAATGATGTACCATTGAGCCTTGCCTCCAGCCCTTTTACTTTAGCTATTTTTCAGGTCCACCCTGCAATCTTCCTACTCTGCTTCCTCATAGCTGGACTTATAGGTGTGTACTGCCATGCCTGGCCTCAGTTCCTTCTTAATTGTGTCATCTTTTCTCTTGAGCTCTGCCAGTGTCTTGACTATTTTCAATATTTCTTTACTTTTCATTAGAGTTTTAACACTTCCACACCGATCTTTCAGTCTTGCTTGGACCATAGCTGCAAATAAATTAAATAATACTATATTTATTCTGCTCTATTTTGTTTTTGTTGTCTACTATTGCCCTTGTGAAATTCTTCTACATATTTTATAGTATGCCATGAGACTGTAACACACTCATCTCTGTTTTCTACTGCCATGTTTTTGCTTCCATAATTGTGCTATGTGAACAATGTTGCTACAAACATTCTTGTACATGCATGTAGCATATTTATACAAAATATTCTGTAAACTGTACCTCCAGAATCACTGGATCATATGGCATGTGTGTATATATGTTCAATTCTAACTAAAACTGCTCACATCTTCTACAAAATAGCTATCTCAAAAAGCCAGTCTGAAGAGGCTACATACAATAAAATTCCAACTACATGACATTGTAGAATATGCAAAACAATAGAGAAAATAAAATGATCAGTGGTTTCTAATGGTTTGCTGTAGGTTAGGGGAGAGATAACTAGGTGGAGCAAAGTGGATTTTTAGGACAGAAAAATACTCTGTATGATGCTGTAACATATTTTCAAAACCAAACAGACAGAAAAGCAATCAAATATAAAAACCTATACAAGAGTGAGCCCTGATCTAAACTATTGACTTTAGTTAATGATAATATACCAATATTGGTTCAAATGTAACAAATGACTTCACCAATGCAAAATGTTAACTGGGGAAATTATAGGCAAGTGGAGAGATGAGTTATATAAACACTTTAACCATCATTTTTCAGTAAAACCTAAAACTGATCTAAAATATTCTATTAATTTTTGAAAGGTATACATTTCCCTCTTTTCTGAGAGTATGAGAGGTTCCACTACTTTATCTCTTTAAGTAAAAATGGCAATGACAGAAAGATTTGAAGTTTTATTGCAAAGATAGTGAATGCCAAGTTATACCTCATTTTGCTTTTACTTTCTAGCACCTTGTTCGTTCAAGTACTAAAGCATCTTAGCCAATGTTTTTTACCTATTAGTGAAAGATGGCTGACTTTCCCCCAAAATTTCATGATCTGTAAAGTTACTACTGGGAGACAACTAGTATTTTTTCTACTAATCTAGGTGACATATTGTTCACAGTGGAAAAGAATGTGTGTTTTTCATTGGTCAGGACGTAAAGAAGCATGTAGATTTCCTTTTCTATTTGGATGGAACCAAATTACCTGCTACCTCTCAGAGATAATTGAGTCAGGTTCCTGAATGGTGACATAGTAAAAGCCACCTCCCTTTTTGGTTCTGGATATTTTTGGAGATAGAATCTTGCTTGTCACCTGGGCTGGGCCTAGATCACAATCCTCCTGTTTTATGTTTCCTGTTGCTGGGTTGACAGACATGCAATACCATGCCCACCTTTTTTCATTAAAATGGGACTTTGCCAGGGCTGACCTGGAACAACAATCCTGATCTCAGCCTCCTATTTGATAGGATTACAGGTGTGAGACACCAGCACCCAGACCAGGATGATCTCGAAGCTCGGATACTTTTACCTCCACATCTCAAGTAGCTAGGATTATAGACATGTACCCCCACCCCAGGTTTGTTTCTTATTTATTGCATTGTGGACTGTCTTATTGTAACCTGGAAATTTATTCTTTGTCCATTGTTCATATTGCAATGTCTCCTATCATTAAAAGTTTGATACAGTCTACCATTGTCTCATTTTAATTTGCTTAAAGGTTAATACAGTTTACCATTGTCTCATTTTAATGTATCTATTTATGATTGCTGTTCTCTTTTTCACAGGCACATGAACAGTTGAATCTGGGGTTTGTTGGATATGGTGGTACATGAATTTTGAAGTTATCATTCATAGATATTATATAAAACCACACCAAAAATGTACATAGATGAGAAAGTAAGATAGAGGAAGAGACAGCGAAAAGGAGAAGGAGGGAGACAGGGAGACAGGGAAAGAAAAAGAGACAGAGACAGAGAGAAATCAAGACCTAGGCCATGTGTCATTCCATATTTCTAGTCTTACACTGAAGAAATGTTTAACTTTGTTGATATTGCCAGTTAACTTGAGGTTGTGCAACTAACAGTCTTTTGAAAAATAGTTTTATTATTTTGGTTCAGCATGCATTAGTAATGTGAGAGAGTTTCATTGTGATAATTCCATCCATGCATACAGTGCATTTTGATTGAGCTCACTCTCTCCATTATATTTCCATCCTCCCCCCTTCTCCTCTTTTTCAAAGAGTGTTTAGTGAGTTCCATTATGCTGTCTTCATAGACAGATAGATGGGTAGATACTGACATACATACATACATGCAGTATACTTTTAATTTCTTCATCCCTCATATAATTTCTTTTGTCTTGACCTTAAATTTTTGAAGAAGTCACATTACAAATGACAACCATTCTATTTTCTAGAAAATAAGAGATATGGCATCAGGAATCATGAATACAGCAGACTCAATTCTTCTTTGTTCTTTTGGAGTTTATGCTTAATAAATAGGGTCAAAGATGAGACAGAGAATTATGTCAACCTTACTGAAGAAGGGATATGTTGGATATATCACCTGATGCTTCCACCAGTGGAGGCACTCTGCCAGACCATTCTCAGTAATAAGTCCTACCAGTGTCAGGACAACTGTAGGGGTATGGTAGAGGGGTGACACAAATTACTGGCTGTCTTGGAAAGACATGGGAACCAAGCAACAGAAAAATGTTCATGGGAGAGCAATGGGAAGGAATTTCCCCACCTAAAACTCTATTGCCTTCCTCAATATTGCCAGTGCCATCAAGTTCATCTTGGGTACATGTCAGATTTATGTGAGTCCTAACTCTTTAC